AATTGAACGGATGTGCTGAGATGTTCAAATCCTGGAACAAAAACTGAAAATCTCTCATTGGAACTCTAATCTGCCCCATACACGTTTGTTTCAGCGATCCTCTTTTCTTCATCGAACCTTCTCTAGGATCGTCCCGAGTATTTGAATCCCTTCCCTTATGCGACCTTGTTCTTGCAATGTTTCTGTCTCAAGGGATCAATACGCATACAATGGTGAACGAAAGCGCGCAAATGTGATCAGGGGATGGCTGAGTCATTCAGGAAAGTGTAGGAACGGTGACGGAGCAGGATTGTGCGAGTTACGTCCTCCACATGATGGTAAATTTGACGACCGCGGCAGCTGGACAGCCCTTCGTTAATTGAACTTGTTGATTTTGTTCCCCTTGTGTTCGGTTGTAGAGAAATGACCATTTGTTTCACTCGAAAATGTAGTATTTTCTTGACCAAGAAGGTTTCCCGGATATTATTGTTTTTTTTTGCGAATTGTTGTTTTGATGTTGAAAAGAATTACCGACCGAAAATGAAGGTGGTTACGCTTCATTTGAGCGGTGTCTGGCTTGAAATGAAAAAAATCCATCTTGAAATGAAGAATGTCTACGGTCATTTGAAAAAGATTCAAGTTGAATTGAAAACTGTCCACGGTTCATTGAAAAAAAGCCGGGTCGAAATGAAAAACGTCCTGAGCTATTTGAAAAATCTCCGGGTCGAATTGAAAAATGTCCACGATTTTTGCAAAACAGCAACAATTTAGAAGACCAGGATCAAGGAGGAATTTGAACGAACTGTCCATTTTCAACGTGGAAATGGTATAAAATCTTGAATGTCGAAAACTCGTCATGTGTCACAAAAAACGAAACACTGGCGACGAATTTTTGAAAATATATGAAGACAAATATAGAACATCCGCAACATTTCAAATATGAATAAAACTTCATGTTGCCCCGATTACCCTCCTCTGAACGGGACAGAGCGCACGCGATTGACCACGGTCCACCACTTCTCCATGTTGGTGACTGCCCACACATCAATGATGAGCATTAAATTATGTGAAAGACATAATAGTTAATACGGGGGGGGGTCGTACCGATACCCTCCGAAAAGGAAGGGGGTCGTAAAAATTTGGAATTTGCGCAACGCAGGGTTAACCCTGTTCTGAACTACCTTTTTGCGGTGACTCTTCATAAATGCTGAAAAAGGCTTCTTATGAAACAGTTTAGGATAAGTAACGTAGCCAACTAGTAATGTGGCGAATGTCTGCTCCAATGTACCCGGATATAAGGATTGTGTAAAATTTTCCCTAAGTGCCAAACGGGGGAACACCCTAAAATGGGGAGTTCGCAAATGGCGAATATATTGGCGTTGCCACCCACATATCACATTTCATCTTGAATAATTATAGTATATCTATCATACTGGGTTTTTTAGGTCTTTGTTCACACCGCAACTGAACATATTATCGAATCTTTTCAAAAAGAACAATTATGAGCTGAGGTATGTCTTGAAATTTTTATTGCTATTCTGCTCCTATTAATGCTCCATCCGATGATACCAAGGATAATGGGTTATACCAACACACGTCTTGTTAGGCGGGACTCGAACCCACATCCTTCGCTTGCGGAACAGTGTAATTTAAATAGCGTATTACCATAACTTGTCAGCCTTCGCATTATAGCATGATGACTAGCTGACACTGGCAGTAATCCGAGACACTGAAGACTTAGGCGGAAGTTGCATTTTCGATTTGTTTTGTTATGTTACTGCTTTTCGCTGCTACCCATTTCCGGCTATTCTGATGGCGAGCAACTTACGGTAATTACGAAATGAATTTATGCTCGTTCTCCTGGCTCATGATGTGCTTGCTTACTTTTAGCTGGATAATGGGCTCAAGGTAATCAAAAAACAACTCTTCTAAAGGATTAACGAACATTAATCTTTTAAACCGCTTATCGTAGCTTCTATTATAATATGCGCTGCATTTAATACTTCTTGTAGGTCACCTGCATCATTACAAGACCAGATTGGTCCCCCGTCAATCGCCGGGACCTTCCTTTCCTGCGTCTGCTTTACGTCTTCCGCTTTCCATTCATTAGAGGGCATCATGACATGACCGTGGAATGACATATCAATACCTAACTGCATCTTAGGCCTGTTGGTGATCAGTTTTCGGCCTCCCCTCCCCATCCTATGCTCCTCCCTCCACTGCCCTCCAGCTGCCACTGCAGCACCATGTGGAATGAACGGAAGTGTGCTAAGCAGGTGTTTATATAGCCCTAAGAGTGTTATCACAACTATCCTGCTACAAAACATTGATATCTCAAATCCTGTAAGCTACCCGATTTGTTAGCGGTTGTTTATCCCATGAGCTTCCTTCTCACTCACTTCATTTTGCGGACGGACACACATACATACATACATACATACATACATACAAACCGACACACAAAGTTAGCGCTTTATAAAATAGAAGGATTAAAAAATTATTGGGCTGGCAATCCACAGTAATATCAGTAATGCCGATGTAATACTTTTCGATCTAATGATTTCCATGGACATAGCTGCGTCCACTGATCGGTGCGCTTATTTACGACCCTCCTTTCTTTCTAAAGGCGCAAATACGACCAGTTGTCGTATTGTGGAATTTGGAACGATTCCGTAAAATCTTCGCCACGTTATTGGAAATGGCTCCTTTCTGAAAAGGGTCTGATCAAAATGTTTTCACGAGAATAGCAAAGTGAGCCATTGTCTTTCCCAGCGATAAATGTACTGCTTTTTGGGCGACCAAACTTAAGATCTACTAATACTCAAAGTTAGTGTAATGTGTACGTCAACAATTTCTGAATAGGATAGCTGGTGGAGCTGTGCGTGATTTACTGATGGGAATACGTCCTGCTGATGTGGATTTTGCGACTACAGCAACGCCCACTGAAATGAAGGTGTGTTTTGATGAGATGTGGGAAAGGTGCTTCTAACTGATTTATTACTCCTAGGAACTGTTCGAGCGTGAAGAGATTCGAATGCTGCATAAGCGAGGAGAGGAGCATGGTACAATAACATGTCGTATAGAAGATGCGGAAAACTTTGAGATCACAACGTTGAGGTGCAAAAAGGTCTATTCAGCTTACTGAACACGTCTTTGTATCAAGAAATTCTTTTTTCACAATGACTGTGACATGCACTTAATTTCACATTGTATTATAGAATCGATTTGGTGTGCGATGGACGTCGTGCTGAAGTGCAGTATACGACCGATTGGCAGCTGGATGCTAATCGACGAGATTTAACCATCAATTCGCTTTTCCTCGGTACGAAAAATCCACTTTTTTCAATTATTTCCTTCTTTTAAACTTACTTTCTGGTCACTTACCGAAATATTCCGTCTACGGAGACGGTCGTGTTGTTGGTGGGATGTAAGCTGTTGCAGTGCTAATAGTACCACTATTCTAGTTACTTTAGAAATATTTATTTATTAGATAACCTCTTCTTTATTAGGTAGGCTAGTTGGGAATATGAAACATTATGTAGGATAAAGGTAGGACTTGCGGAGTTCACGGTCTACCTTGGGGTGCGCCACACATCCCTTCTTTATTCAAAATCGTAGTAAAATTTATATGAGATATGGCTTACACAATGACTTGCTGCTATCTTCGACACTCATGGATGGAGCCTCCGGTTGGCGTGGGCGTGGCTGTAGCCGGGAGGGTACCATCTGTAACTACGCACGTGGTATACGACGCCACTTGCCACTACGTCACATGTGCTGCTACCAAGCTGTGATCCAGCGGGATCCAACTCATAAGCCGGGAAGTTCATCTGTGGTCTTTTAAAACGTGCCAACATGATAGACCCAATCTCGTTTACGTTTATACATTTCCTGGACAACGTCAACAAGGCCACTTCGTCTTCGCAGCTCTGTGTTTGTGATATGTTCACGAAGCGACACTTTGCAAATTCTGCATTCCATTGACCTTTGCATCACAGCAAATTTCTCTTCGTCGTATGGCTTTGGTGATACGCACCATGCATTTCGCGCCGTACGAGCATGCGTAGAGTCTCACCGTCAGTTGAAACAAAGATCGCCTTTAATCTTCTCGTAGAGTGATCCGCTTGAGCAATGCCGTCGACATTTTGTTGAAGCTACATCTAGCTATACCGTTGACATTTTGATGAAGCTAGACCAAGCTGCTTTCCTACGTTTACTGTACTCCTCGCTAGTGTCTCCAGTGAAGCTGAGCTAGTGCCTAAGGTACTTCGAGGAAGTGGTCACGGAAATTACTATGGAGACGTTAGGAAAAGTGACATTGGCAATTGGGTAGAGGTCTTACCCAATGGGGCGACAGGTGACGCTTCAAGGGCAGTGGCGCCTTATCAACGGCGTGATAAGTGCCGAAACCCACATCCGAGTTCGGGGGTTGCATCTCCTCATCAGACGTGGAAGGGGATGCAACAGCAGCGTGCTAGATATATACGATTATACCACCGTTCGATTTTCAAGCTAGAATGCAGCCGCATCTTCTTATCTAATCGTATTTTATCTACCAATGGGTTATGCTCGTCCGATCCTCGTCCGTCTATCTATCTCCGGGACCTTATTGGGTGATAACGGTGAGTGCAGCGAGGAAGCCAGCGTGATCGCTTCCTATAACTCGGTTGTAGGACTGAACTAATTGTGCATCCATTTGGTTTTTGACAAGTCCTTTTCAAGTCCAATTTCATTTGATTTCTTCTGCAGCTGCACAAGTTTCTGTTGGAGCTCAAGAAGCATTATGTGCAAAAGCGCAATCATCGGCAAACAGCAGATGAGTCAGCCGTTCTCCATCGATCTCTATGCCATCCGTCCAATCATGATCACTGAACAAGGCTTTCAGAGTTAATGCAAATAAATTCGGCGCAATCGTATCACCTTTTCGAACGCCCTTGCAGATTTTTATTTGACGATGTTTTATTTGAAATAATGTACGGGACTATCCTTGCTTTATGATAAGCCGACTCCACCTGTCCTGGACATTGCTACCTCCTTCTTCTAGCAGAATTTCTTCACAGTTTGACCACGTCGGTGATTAACCGTGTGCTCTTCCCAGTGTTACAATTACTGGTTCAGGGCGGTTTTAAGTCTTCTCAGCTGTTTTGCAGAGTAACGGTCTAGGGAGAAGCTCTGGCGATTTAGGTTGTCCTGACGTTTTGGAAAATGATGTGTACTCTGATGCGTCCGTAGTCCTTTTTCCGTCCCTGCCTTTCATCTAGGTGTGGGCTTGTTGTGCAAAGTCGGGGCATCTTCGTTACGCCCATCTCGGGTCCAAATCATTCCTTTTCGAAGTTTTGCCAATTTTTTTGCAGCAGTCACTTCGCGTTGGCAGCCCTCTTGTCCTGTAGCTGCTTTTTTTCGCCCCTCAATTTGTGTACCGGCTGCCTTATTATAACAGAGGGACGGGGCAATAGAACAAAGAGAGTGCATTCCATTCTATAAGAAAATAATCTTATGTGGCCACCCACGTGGACGGCATCAGAAGAATTTGCCCTGGAAACATGGTGCACTGGTCGAGCTCAATGGGGTCTTCGAAGGATCGTGTACCATAACGACCTTTACTGGAAAGCTCGTTTCGAGGGGATTTGCACAGTGGTAGCTAATGCCTCTAGAAAACTATCCAACATTAAATCGATTCACGAAATTGCGTAAGAGCTTCAGGCTGAAGCTCTTACGGTAGACCTCCTTGAGCCTGACGACGGTGACAGATGACGTCATATTCTGAAGACGGTGAGGGCAGTGAAGGAGGGCCTGCGTTCACTTATAGAGGGACACTTAGGGAATACTCTGCTGAGGAACTCCCGTCAACGACGGCAATCTCTGCGAAGAAAAAAGGCCGAAGTCCGACATAGGCAAAATGTCTTTTTTTTTGCCCCCCCCCTGTATATTCGAACCAACCGCACGGCGGACTGACATTCCTCTATCCAACAACCTGAGGACGCGCGCTAGATGACTGCGAGCCTGACCACACTGGAACAAGGAAATATAAGTATAGCTCAGCAACGAAAATTCGACGTTCCTCTAATTTTGTTTTATCCTGGGAGAAAACGATAATCACAGAAGGGGGGGGGGGTGATATCAAGGTATTTTCCATGGACCCTCTAGTTGATCCACGCCATTTAGTTTATTCTGCAGTAATTTTGTTCTGATGCTCTGTTTCAGTTTTTCTTTGTTTCTTACAAAGCAATTTAAATTTTCCTAGGCGTGTCTTATGGAATTGTCTTATTTATGTCGTCATATACGACAAGTTAATTCCTCTCAGATCTGGATGGAAACGTGATCGATTATTTTGGTGGCATAAGAGATATCGAGAAGAGACGTGTAGCCTTTGTGGTCATGCCTGTTGCACGATTCAGAAGTTATTCCGAAATTTTAGGTGATTTACTTTCTTGATTTTTGGGGATGATGCTCGTGGTAGCGGCTACAGTATTGCTATGAGTTTTGTTGGTCGAAAGAAAGCTTTTTCTGTCTTTCCAGTTTAGCATATTGTGTAGAAGTAATATATGACACTCTAAGCGAGTGCTGGTCAGAAGAGAGCGACATTTCAGTGCGCTTGATGGTTTTCATAATGCTTCAATCCGTCAAAAATTCAACCATGTTATCACCCAACATATATACTCTTCCCCTTTCCTTCTTGACTTAGGGGGCCTCACCACAATCGCCATGTTTTTTTTTAATGCAGTGGCTTGCCGTGCACATTGTGTTCAGGTCGCGTCCTTTGTCATCTCTTCGGAAGCTGCACTTTTTCGGTCTCGCCTCTACTTACTTGGAATCAGTCAAAGGAATAGCTAAAAGTGAAAATAAATGAACACTAGCGCCTATAGTCGACGGTAAATGTAGTAGCATGAAGCAGTGGTGGGCAAATTGACTTGAGAAAGTGATTGACAGCTAGCTACAGTTTGTGACAGCTCACAGCTGTAGGTAAGCATCATGTGCTGATGCATCAACAAGCGCAAGTTGGTGCAGCTGGCGTAGTACCGGTGCACAGTACGAAAACTTCGGCGTAATTTTCCTGCATTAAGGAATGAAATGAGGCTCGTTGTCACATGATTGACAAAGAAAATCAACTCATTGCGTACAGTGGCGTTTTTCGCTTGGCGTCGTGCGTGGCCGGCGCTTGTTTAGTCTCGCCGTTGCTTGCTTTGAGGCAGATAATTTTCCATTCTCCTACTACACCGTACGTATATTTCCAATTTTACAAATTTCTTGTATTTATTTATCAAGTGATATTAACTATGTTACGTGGTAAATGTGGTAAGGTATTAAAAGCGGCGGCAAAATGTATATGAAGGACACGTGTGGAACCAAACAATGGTTCACACGAAGCCATTCACATTCTTCTTTTTTGAGCTAACGCTCAGGCAGCGTTTCTTTTTACAACATGTTGGCAAAATTGAGGAGATTGCCGCGCAACCTTCTCACAAGAGAGAACCAATTTCATTTTGTGATGCACTCGCATGTCAGTATGCTGTTCTCGTGGTTCTGAAGCATCTTTTCATAGGATCACCTGTATCACCTGTCGTCCCGTTGATCATCGAATTGCTCGAGCGGGCGCCAGCAACGTCTCCATTCGTCCCTGTCGCGTGCAAGAGTTGTCCAGTGGACCCTCCTCGCTCGAGGGACACGAAGTCCTTCATTCCTTTCGTTCAGAGCTTTCGTGAAGAAGTCTGACCATCGGGCCGGCGGTCGTCCAGGTGTTCGTTTGACGTCCCGAGGGATCCAGTCGGTAACCGCTCTGGTCCAACGGTCATCGCAAAATCGCATGACGTGTCCGGCCCACCTTATCTTCGATTCCTTGGCGAAAACGGCAGCGTCCCTGATCTTCGATCGTTGGCGTAGTTCGGAACTCCGGATTCCCCTCTGCACTTGCGTGTATAGGGTTACTCCTAGCATCGTCCTCTCGACAGCGCGTTGGATAACGCTGACCGCATGCTCGTCCTGCCTGCGCAGAGTCCAAGTCTCTGAGGCGTAGGTTAGGGCAGGAAGGACAGCGGAATCGAAGAGGTGGGCACGGAGCCGGATGTTCTTCGTCTTCTTCACTACTCCCTCGATGTTCTTGTACGCTCCCCAAGCCGCTCGTTTCCTCCTGCTCAGCTCTGGAGCTAGATCGTTCATCATATTGATTTCCCGACCTAGGTACACGTAGCTGGAGCATTCGGTGATGTTCGTTCCGTTGAGCGTGAATGGGGCATCAGGAACCAATCCGTTTCTCATAAACATCGTCTTCGTTAGGTTCAGCTGTAGACCGACCTTACCACAGGCGCAGTCGAAATCAGCCAGCATTCGCTCCGCTTGCTCGATGTTCGGCGTTATAAGAACGA